ATATATATATATATATATATATATATATATACAAGGTGTTTCCTGTAACGCGACGCACGATTTTTCTCCTACTTACAACCACCTGACAAAAAAAAGTTTAGAACAAAAGTTGAACGGTACAAGATGTACAGTAGGATAATTTTTTTCCACCGTATTGTAGAGAACATCGAGACGAATTCAAAACACACATTATATGATATTTTTATTAACATGTTACTCCATTTACAATAGTGGAAATGTGAACATTTAGCTTACTTTCTCGTCGTATTTGATTCTAAGATAGTGTAAACATAGTTGACTTCAGATTAGAAGCTAAATTCACATTTCCACTACTGTAAAAGGAGTAACATGTTAATAAAAATATCATATAATATGTGTTTTGAATTCGCCTTGATGTTCTCTACAATACGGTGGAAAAAAAACTATATGTTCCTATTTGTTTCATCCAAAGTAACCTTGATTTAGCTATGAAAACAAATAGTTTTCGAAATTTTTTTTATTCATACCTACTGTACACCTTGTTCAACTTTTGTTCTAAACTTCTTTTTGTCAGATGGCTGTAAATAGCAGAAAAATTGTGAGTCGCGTACAGGAAACACTTTGTATATATATTGTATATATAGAGACACTAAATTAAACACTGAATTTTTTTAAATGATAAATTTTAAAAACAAAAGAATTCTATATTAAATATTAATTTAAAAATAGATTTTAAAAGTTATGTAATATTACAAACATTCTGTGCATGAATCTATCTGATGATTTATCTATCCATGCACATATGTTTTCAAATAGACAAAACATAATAAGTTAAAACTCACTGAAACATCATCCTGAGGATATAGTACAAGTTCTCTTTGAGGATCATTTTGTAATAAAGTTTTATTCTTTAATACAAAATTTTCGAAATCTATGGGTTCTACCAGATGTGGTTTGTTCTGAAATAAAAACATTTTTTTAAATGTAAATAATAATAAATTGAAGTAATTAAAAATTAATGTAATCTATATACATTAAAACTTATAATATAAATTTTCAAAAATAAATACTAATTTCTTAATACTCGCTATGACAGTAATAATAAATTTCTTTTAAGAATAATATAAGTTTTTCTTAATTCAAGAAAATAATGAATAATGAATCAAGATATTGCAAGATACTATAAATGGGCATGTTCCAATGTGAATAACATCAGCTTTAAAATAACCAAAACTTAATGTCCTGAGACTGTTGTAAAGAAAAATAAAATAACAAATGTCATTTAAAAAACATTAATAAAAGATAAATCCAACTCTTCTTTGCCTCGAAATATTTATAATTAGCTCTGCATTTAATCAAGGACAATTATCACGAATGATGAATTAAATATATCATGAAGATCCTGATAAATGACCGGGGAAATATATCTTCAGTGATATTACTTGTTGCGTATCTACTGTTCGAGAAATGATAAAAAAAAAAATATCCAAAGAAAATCAAGCGGTAAAATGCATCGTGTCAAAGATACCTACCTGTACGGTGCTCTCGCGTACTACCTGTGAGACGGTCTCTCGTAATTGAGCGGCCATGCCCGGTTTACCCAGGCCACGGGTAAACTTTCTTTCGCTCATCCTCGCCGGTGACACATGGATCTCATCACCGTACGCCAACGAGAACAATCACGATCATCATGTGTGCTCATTACTTTGGACAATACTAACCGCTCGCTATTGTTGCAGCCATATTTACGCGGCTTCTAAGCTCACGTCGTAGCAACGCATGACAGTCCTCCCTACGCAGTTTACGTGATAGTACATCGCTGCAACTATATCCGGTATATATGCTTAGATATAAAATACTATTTAATCACGCTCTAACCTAAATAATATTCTACTACTAAGTACATGTAGCATAAACTTGTAACTTTATAATGTATGTATTGTAATGTAATTTATTGCTCGGACAAAGGTAAATAACTAGACATTTTGAAAAGTTTCTACATATTTTGCATACGCTATAAATTTACTTTGTTAATTGTATGATAATTTTCTTTGCGAATTTTAAATGTACATGCATACCTAACGTAATATATATTATGTGTTAAAAATCATACGTATGTAAATGTGTGTGCGCGCGTGTGTGTTAGAAAACTACACTTTGCTTTCTTTTACTTTTTTTTTGAGAATTTAATAAAATAAGTAAAAATTATGTAATTATAATTAATTGAAACATTTTTTGCATTTAGTCTTATATTTCAGTAAATTACTTCTTTTTTTATCGTGTTATGCGAAAGTAAGTGAGAATACTAAAATTAAATTTAAGAAATTCTTACTAATTATGTAAGTCAAGATACTTACACTTTTACATACATATAAAATGATCCCCTTCATTGCGTGAACACACAATGCGGAATGCCAACAGTGCCGCGTGCTTAAATTACGGCGTGAGGTCAAACGTTTACCTACAGCAACGTTTGCATAATTCGGTGTCGTCTGCTGTAGATGCCAAATGTGCAAATTAATTATTACTTTTTCCGAACTTTTGAACATTCATTGAACAAATTGAATGTGATCGAACGATCATGCAAATTTTCATGCATATTCGATGTACTCGTTGCATTTGTGCTATGCTGTAAATAATTGTCAATATATTCATTGAGACATTTAGGTTCAAAAGTGGCTTGATTCAAGGTGTTCCTTGCATTATATTATGGATGACGAACTGGAAGACAAGATTCTATATCAGGTAACATAAAAATAATTAAATGTAATTGTTTTTTCTTCTTTCGGAAAGAGAAGTGTCTAACACGTATTATATGTTCGGTCTATGATCTTCGTCTCTCGTGATTCGTATTCAAAAATAGTTTCGTTCAATTGCTTTCAGATCTTGACAATATAATTTACTTAATTTATTTAATTCTGCTTAAATAAATTTAAATAAAAAGTAAAATAAGTTTATCTTTTTTTAACCAATAAGAGAGATATGTGATATAGAGTATAATATGTTTACTGTTTGAAATTACCATTTTCTTTGTAATGTTTATTACCACTTGAAATTTCCGTTTTTTTTTTTTTTTTATTATAATCGTTATCATTAATTTTGTATTTTTATTGATAACAGACATATGTATCATACATGAAGCTAGTATCAAAGTTTGCAGTGGGTATTCCCACAGGATTAAATGCTGGCATAAATACTCCTTTGGGCTATTTTTGGAGGATCATGAGGGTTTACGCATTGAAACCAGAAGTATTAGTTTGTGGTGCAATTTTGGCAGTAATTCTATTTTATATGCAAGCTGTTGATGTATGGAGCCGATCATTATTAGGAAAAATCCAATATACACTTGGTCGTACTACATCAAAAGTAAATAAATTAAAAAATAAGCTATATAATAATTTATTATAACAAACATAAATTAAGTATTGTAAATATCCACTAAAAAATTACTTAATTACTTCAGTTACAAGTTTACTTGTCGTTTAATTATCTGTTAAGTACAACAAAAAGTAAAGATTGGTACTATATCATACTTTTTTTTTTAAGGTATCCAAGTTACAATTTTTAGTTGATAATTCTGTAAATAATGGGGTGAAGCTTAGTTGGGAATTAAGGCAAGGATACATTGCTGCATATGCTGTTCAAGGTCACAGAGCAAGTATGGAAGATCGCTTTGTTGTAAATGAAGATATGAATAATACAGGTGTATCTTTATTTGCAATATTTGATGGACATGGTGGAGAAGTAAGTTCAGAAATGTCTAACATATACATTTACATCTAAGTATAATAGGGACTTCATATTAATAATTTAATTATTTAACATTATTTTTCAAATAACATTGTAATTTCCAAATTTCTAAATTTATGACATTATATGATTATTGTCTTCCAAAATTGCAGATTAAAAACACAGGAATGAGGTAAAAATTCCTTATAATGGTAAAATTATACAGAATTAATAATATAATAGCAAAGATTAAATTATATGATAATAATATGAAATATGAAAATAGATTTCACTAATATTGTATTGTGTTTATTTATTCCTATATTTCATAAGTTACTATGTATTAGTTACTTAGAATGTCATTATAGATTAATATGAAATATCATTATAGTTTTGTCATTATTTATATGATTGCTTAGTTTATATAGAAAAATTTTAAGTATTACCACAACAGTGCATGCAATAAAAAAAATAATAAAATTGTATTCTCTACATATCAATATCTTTAGAAAATGATTTGACAATATGTAAATAATAGTTAAATTAAAAATCACTATTATTGTAATTCACTATCATTATTTTTATTTATAACAGAACAGATTATTAAAATATATTTTAATATATTATTGCCAGTTGTGTTTTAAATAGTATCAAGAAATATTTTAATAATAGTATACTAATGACATGGTAATATTCTAAACATATTTATTACTTATAAATATAAGACACTAACAAATGTTTTTATATTTCAATAGTTTGCAGCAAATTATGCACGTGACAAACTTATTCCAAACATTAATAAAAAAGTAATTGAATTAAAAGATATGATAGCTGGCAAAGCATCACATATATCAGAAAACACAAACAAAAATGAAGAAACAGAAAAGAAAGAGGAAAAAAGTGATACAGGACATCTTGAACGCAAAAAATCTTTTCGTAAAACTGTGAGCACATCATTGACAGATGATTGCATGAAGAAAAATGTTGGTGTAACTGATCCAGAACTACTTGATAAATTGGATAGCTTGCCAAGGCCAATAACAAGAGAAGTATGATTAATGTTAAATTTGATATCCTTTAATACTTAACCGGCTGGTCGGGTATTAATACCCATTTAAAAAATTTACGTAAACAGCCAGGTATTGATACCCATTTAGACTTTATTGTAGATCAGAGCTATTTTTAACTTATTCGGTAAATGGAACAAAATATATGCAGTGAACTATAATCAATCTGTTTCTCAAAGCATTACTATTCTGGAAGTCATTATATTGTGTAAGTTTTACATAAAAAATTTTAAATAAGTAATATTTATTCTAAAAAATGTTAAACAGACAGAAATGAAGAAAATATCGAAGAAATATGCGCAGATAATTTATTGAACTTATCAGTGAGTGATATTGAATACTACAATTCAAATTTTAGTGATAGTGATGATAGTAAAGATGAATTGTATTTTGTTCAAGAAAGAAATCGTTCACGATTTATGCAATTTTCCTATGAATCAGAGTGATAATGTCTAAACTTGGTTAAGTATCAATTTCATCAGCTGTACGTAGAATCCTTCAGTGGTTATTCGGGAGTGAAAGTTATGCCAAATTCATCAGATAACTCTCATTACTGACAATGTAAACTTATTTATAGGTGATGATTTTTTTTACTTATATAGTTGAAAAGTCAAATCGTTATTACGATCAAAATCGTGAAAAATTTATAATCTAACAAAAGTAGAAATATTACACCGTCGGAAATGAAAAAATTTTGTTATAATTTTAATAGGACAAGTGCGTAAAGTCGTTATTTGTCTACTGAACCATTTCTTGAAACTCCTTTTTTTCAAAAGTGATAAGCAGACAACGGTTTAGGCAAATCTAGCAGTCATGGCAATAATAATGAAAATTTATAAAATAATTCAGGTAGACTTCAAAAAGTTCGAACATCTCCTATTTTTAAGAAATTTTTAATACTCCCGAAAAAAAAATATTTCTCGATGAAGCAATTATTCCTTGGCGTGGAAAGCTAAATTTTAGAACATACGTGCAAAGTTAATAACCAAATATGGAATTCTCGTGCATGTGGTTTGTAAAGATCCGGTTACATATGTAATTATGGTGTATTGTGGAAGTGGACAAAAAATCGAAGAAACAATACTGTCAGTTTTTGGAACAATTATCTATGGTATTACATTTACTTAGATAATTATTATAATAGTGTGCAAATTGCTACAACTCTACTAAATTTGAACTTGTGGTATTTGTAGTACAATTCGAAAAAATTGAGGTATACAAGACTTTTTAAAAAATATAAAATTAGCTATAAGTGAAACATCATTTTTGAGAAAGAATGATATACTTATATGTACAAGTATGGAGTCCCAAGAAAACTAATGTGTACATGATATCTATAATACATTCAGCAGTCATGAAAGATTCAAATCGTGTAAATCGTCTATCTGGTAATTTTATTCAAAACCAGGACTGTATTTTAGTATAACAAATATATGAAACGCGTAGATAGGGCTGTCTAATACTTATCATATTGTAAAATTTTTCACGAAACAAAAAAATAGACCAAGAGAGTTGCTATATTCTTTTTAAATTGTGCCCCTTTCAATGCTTTCACAGTATGTGTTACATTAAATGGACAAAAAATTCCTGCACCGCGTTGTAATTCAATAGATACATAATGATGTTTTAGAAAATGATCCAGCTGAAGACATACGACTAGGACCATTTAATATTATTACCCCAAGGATTCCAAATATAATTATGATCCTCCTGGAAGATTATCAGAAGATTTCAAGAAACACAAGAATACAAAAATAATTACAGGAGGAAAGAAAAAATGTCCTCAGAAGCAGTGCAAAGTATGCGCTGCATCAAAAAAAAAAGCTTCAGTTTTACATACAAATTTTATGGTATTTCATTGCATAAAGGCTCATGTTTTGAGCGCTACCATTCATTAAAAAAATATTAAATATCTAGTTTTAGAGTTTTTGCTTTAGTAATAATAAATAATAAAAACGAATTTTTGGTATATCATAATTTATTTTATTATCTTAAAAATTTATATTTTGTGCCATTTTAAATAGTGTAAATATACATATAAATAACGTAAATCTAAATATTCGAATTAAATAAAATATCTTCAATCAGGGACTGTGAAGAGTAATCATATAAAATTTCATAAAAAAATGTTGATAAATATGAAAATTATAACAGAATTCATAGTTTACTTCCTCATTCTGCAAACTTACAAAATATTGCTGGCTGTCAATGAAAATTCACTCACTTAAGCACCGGCTGGTTAAGTATTAAAATAGTAAATATGTAAAACATTTTTTTTATTTTAATTGTAAGGTGAGACCATGTAGAACAACGGAAAGACTACCAAAAGTAGATATTACGAATTACCTGGATGGGAATAAAATAAACTATGGTAGATTACTAACTGATGAAGTACTGGCAGTGGATAGATTATTAGTTGAGGCTGCTAAAAAAAATATGGACGTAGCTGGTAATCATCTTTTTATAGTTATTTTCTTTATTTAAATTTAAGAATAATTTTCTAAAATTCATAATGTAGGTACAACTGCTTTAATTGCTCTCTTAGAAGACAATAAATTAATTGTGGCTAATGTTGGAGATTCAAGAGGTGTAATGTGTGATGGAAAAGGAAATGCTATACCTTTATCTTTTGATCACAAACCTCAACAAGTATGTAATTTGTATATATATACATATATATATATATTTAATAATGAAATATATTTTTTCATTTACGAAAGTAATTTTTAGGAAAGAGAAAGGCGGAGAATAAACAAAGCTGGTGGTTTGGTAACATTTAATGGTGTATGGAGAGTTGCTGGTATATTAGCAACTTCTCGAGCTTTAGGAGATTATCCATTAAAAGATAAAAAATTAGTGATTGCTGATCCCGATATTTTAACTTTCGATCTCAGTGATCATAATCCAATGTTTATCGTCCTAGCGTCAGATGGTTTATGGGATACTTTCACCAACGAAGAGGCTGTTGCGTTTATTAAGGAACGTATAAATGAACCACATTTTGGTGCAAAAAGTATCACATTACAAAGTTATTACAGGTAATATAAACCGACTTTATGATTTTTTTCAAATATCGATTTGAATTAGTTTTTGATTATGTATTTATTTTTTTTAACATATAGGGGTTCCGCTGACAATATTACTGTAGTTGTAATTAATTTGAAGGATCGTAAATACAGCATATCAGAGATTAAAAAAAATCAATAATTATTTAATTACACAATGAATTTGTTTTTTCCAAAGCAATTCTAGTCATTAATCATTTATTAATAACTAGTAAGTGTAAATTTGGAAAAAAATGAATGTATTCTTGTTTATGTCTTTATTGAAGTTTTTATTTTTTTATAGAGACAATTTTAGTTTTACTGTAATATCCATTATAACTATTTTTATTTATATATTACAATGTTTACAATATACTCTTCATTGATAAAATTTGAAAGAATTGAATTTAAAAAAGTTTTATTTGTTATATTTTTGAAATCAAATGTATATTGTATATTATACTATTAAATTTATTCTGTGAAATATTCATTTTTCTATACCATAGTATGATTCAAAATATGAATGCATAATTCATGTATATTTATATATATTATTAATTATTGTAATAATCCATATATATATGCATGTAACATATATATGTATCAGAATGAAAATTTTGATGTACAAACGAGAACATGCAATATTTATTTTTATATAAATTTGAATGAATGACTTTCGTAAATGAACAATTCAAAAATCACGTTTGAATATGTTATATAAAATAACTATTAACATTTAATATAATATTTTACACTTAAATAACTAACGATCGTTTGAATGTAAAAAATTCTGTACATTGAAAGTAATAAGTAATAAAAGTATATTTTGGTCTCGTTTTACATGGATTTTTTTATTCATAGCTTTATTTATAGTTACATGATATAATATGGTTATGTCACATTCACAACTATACAGTTTCTTTTACACATTTTGTTACACGATAAAAACGATACAATTAAAAATAATTAAAACATAATTGAGAAATAGTAGTATTAATTAGTAAATAATTAATGTTTGCATGATTTCAAAGTAATTTAAAAAATTATACGACTTATTATAAAAAGTTAAAAAAAATAAAAGTGACATCTTGTTACAAAACAGTAAAAGACATTTTGAGCGACAATAGTCATTCCAGTAAAAAAAAATTTATTATATTATATGAAATTCGGATTTCTTAAAAAAAAAATTAATTTTTTTGGTTCTCATCATCAATTATTTTTTATTTCATTTTATATGGTACAGATTTACCATATAAAACAAGACCTATATATAAGATATATATGTGAACATATTAAATTTAATTAGTTTAAGTAACGTTATTAGCATATAAACAAAAAATATTTACTTAATAATAATTACATTATAATATCTTTTAATATGGTATAAATTATAATATATATCTTAGTCAATGGTGCTATATATTTTCAAAATTTCTTTTATTCGTACCAAAAATTAATAATAAAAACATTTCTAAATTGTATACTTTATTTTATTATATAAAATTTGAAATACAGAAAATTTTATGGTATTCAAATAAATACATTTTGATATTTGTAAAGTGCAGTTAAAATTGGTCTTAAATATTGTACTATAAAATATTTATTCATTAAAAATTAATTCCACATCTGAAATTGTGTATATTTATTTAGATATCATAAGACAATCAATTTTTATATTTTTATAATTTTTTCAACTTTAATTTCAAAACCACATATTTATTTAGATATCATAAGACAATCAATTTTTATATTTTTATAATTTTTTCAACTTTAATTTTTTTTTAATTTTTTAATAAATTTTATAAAAATGTATTGGGTTGTCCAGAAAGTTCGTGCCGATTTTCGGTAGGTATTAGAACAGGTCTGAATATATTAGAATGTTTGAAAACAAATGACATATGCACTTATTCTAAAAAGTATAGCATAGATACTTCATATTTAGAAAAAAGTTTGGTTAAGGTTCATTAATATTTGTTTTACATGCTTTCAAATATGGAAGTAAACAAAGTGCATTATAGGCATTTGATGCTTTTCTTTCACCAAAAAGACAAAAATGCCAAACAAACAGCAAACAAGATGCGCTGTTTACGGTGAAGGTGTTGTAGCTGAAAGAGCTGTGCGGAAGTGGTTTTCTAGGTTTAAAGCTGGTGATTTCAACCTTCAAGATCAGGAACGCCCGGGTAGGCGTTCCACCACTGACGAAGATCAGATAAAAACATTGATCGAGAATAATTCACGCCATACGACACGTCAATTAGCAGAAATGTTAAAAATATCAAAATCCACCATTCACGAGCATTTTGTGAAGCTTGGACCGTTTTGATGTATGGGTACCTCACCACTTTACCGAAAAAAATCTGATGGACCGCATTTCAATTTGCGATTCGCTCTATAAACGCAACGAGGAAATACCATTTTTGAAGCAAGTAGTGATGGAGGGGGGGGGGGGTGAAAAATGTATTATTTATGATAATGTTGAACAGAAAAGATCTCGGGAGGGAAAAGCGGAATGAACCATCTTTAGCCCCAAAAGCCGGACTTCATCCAAAGGTCGTGCTCTGTGTCTGGTGGGATTGGAAAGGAATCCTGTATTATAAGCTTGTACCAAACAACCAGACGATAAATTCGGAAAAGTATTGCTCGCAATTAGACGAATTAGAGACAACAATTGATCAAAAACGTCCAAAACTAGCGAATCAGAGGGGCGTCGTGTTTCATCAGGACAATGCGCGGCCACATGTATCTTTGACTACTCGTCAAAAGTTATTGGAGCTTGGTTGGGATCTGCTACCTCACCCACCATATTCACCAGACCTTGCACCCTCAGATTTTCACCTATTTCACCTAGGTCATTACAAAATTCCCTTAATGGCAAACATTTTAACTCTGGTCGAAATAAAAAATCATGTTGAAAAGTTTTTCGCCGAAAAACCTGAGAGGTTTTGGAAGGATGGAATATTCAAGTTGCATGATATATGGAGAAAGGTTGTAGAACAAAATGGCAACTACATAAATTAATAAATGTATATTGAAATTTAAATGCGCTGCGTTTGAAATTCCTCAAAAAAATGGCACGAACTTTTTGGACAACACTATATATATATATATATATATATATATATATATATATATATATATATATATATATTTCTATTGGCTGGAAATGTAATCCTCATTATAATTTGAATACAAATTGAACTATTAGCCACATGTAATAACATAATAGAATATTAAAATAATCTATTTAAATATATAGAGAAAGACTAAAATTTTTAATTTTATAAAATCTTGAATTATAAAACATCATTAAATCTTTTTAATAAAATTTTATCTACTGTTTCTATGCACCTTATATAACGTTTAAATTGTAATAAATTTGTATTATTAACAAAACTAATGCAATTTTAGATAATATAAATCAATATAAAAATCATTTTATTTTTTTGATATACTTATATTAATCAAAGATATTTTACATTCCTGGTTATTTTTATGAATTATCAACACATTTTTAAAACATATAACATGTAAGATTATAACTAATTTTTAAAATTCAAATATTTAATTTGATTTTCTTAAATTTATAATATACAGTGGTATTCAAAAATTTCCAATGAAGTAAATTTTTTAGTATGTATATCAAAAATAATATTTAAACATTTTTTAATTAATATCAGATACATGGATATTATAAATATACATTTTATTAAATATAACAAATAAAAAATTTGTTATTTTGTATTAAAAGTTTCTAATCACTTCATTTTATAATTTTTATAATTCTTATATTTATGTTGTAAATTATTACTAATGTTTTATAATTATATTTTTTCTAATAATAACAGTATTGCAAAACATGAACACTACAATTATTATATTTTAGAATAAAAGATTTTTCTAGAACAAAATAACTGTGACTTTTGAATAACATTTTATAATTTTTAGTATTTGCAGTACTAAATTTACTATATTTTTGTATAGTAATTTTGTAAATAAATAAGTAAAACTATATATATAGTAAAACTATAATAATATTAATTATAATTTTTTAGATATTGCTTTTAAAATAAATTCTAAAAAATTTATCTGATTGAAAACTTTTGCATTGTAAGCATATCACTATATATTAAAATCACATGCATTATTTGTTAAAGAAGGCAAAAGTATTTTAAGGACATGAATGTTCTAAATTTTTTATTTTGTTTTATCAAATTTAGCTAATTTATAAGTAATTTTTTACATTGTACAATTTTTTACATTGTACACATTGAAAATAAATAAAAAAATATTACACATAGTATATTTCATTAATTAATTCATTTCAGACATATGTTTTCATATTTGAATTACTTTTTAACATAATTAATAATACAATTTAACTATTTATCAACTATTTACCAGATGCATATATTGCTTTAATTGGTATAAAAAGTAAGTACATTCTGTGTTATTTATAAAATTGAACATTTTTATATAATTTATAGTTTGAATATCTCTTTTATAGAAAAATTATACTCTATTATATTATATTATATTATATTATATTATGTTATATTATATTATATTAACAATATAAATAGATCACTCATGTCCAAAAAATTTAGCTATAAGTAATATATACAATTTTAACTGTTTGATATAAATTATTTTAGTACTAAAATAGTACTAACTAAGTCAATACGTATTGAATGAATGGTTGTATTTTATATATGAATGAACTATCTTTGATGTTATATATACATTATTTATATCGTAATGTTTGTTAATTATTAATTAAATGTCAACCAAGTATTTCAAAATCTTCATCAGATGTATCACATTGTGGATCTATATGTTCAAAATCTACAACTATAAAAAAAATTACTAAAATTAACTGTAACAAATGAGATTTCAATTATTGAATAAATTTTTTTTTTTTTTTTTTGTTAACATCATATCAATTTTGAAATACTTACAACTTGAAGCTGCTATTGCTTCTAAAGCTACATCTTCAGTTGGTGACCATTGTGCTAATCTCTCTGTGCACAATTCAAGCAAAGGTTGTTTTTCTGGTGCTATTAATTCTTCTTGAATAGATTTGCATAAAGATCTAAAGTCTTTTTCACTTGCACAAAAGAAACACTGAAATAAAACGTTATTTTTTTATTTTATAAAAATATATCTTATTTTTCATAAATTGTTTAACTGTCTAACTAATTCCTAAACAGTAATTGCCTAAGTAAGTCTTAAACATAAAATTATATACTAACAAGTGCTATAGAAGGATCTATTCCTGTAATAAGAATACGACTAGAAGATTTACAATGATAAGTAATATCCATTTCAATTTCTTCCTCTTCTAGTTTTCTACCAACACTACCTGATCTTTGTGTTGTATGAGGATCCAAATAAATTACTTCATTTCCTGTAAATAAGATTATAATTTGTAGACATTTTCATTCATGATACATATATACATATTTTTTTTCTTTAACTTAATTTAATTTTTAATTTACAAAAATACATACATACCGACACATCCTATGAAATATAATGCAAGATTGGGTTTTCCTCCTATTACTCCTAGAGATTGTGGAATTTTAAATGAAGTCTGAAAAATTATAGGTATGAATAATTATTCATAACTTCATCCATATTTCATGTCAATTTTAGTAATTCATGCAAGAACATTTATTTCCTTATTACTTTAAGACCATTAATGTAAATTGGATTAATCTCATTTAATCCAAGACGAAGAGGTATTAAAAGTAATAAAGGTTTCCATTGGCTAGGTGCTTTCAATGGTATATTATCATCAGTTTCCACTGTTGTACCTCCTTCTACTCTACATTGCTTTACTACAAATATAATAATGTTAAAAAATCAATTAAAAATACACATATTAAAATAAATAATTTGATTACTTACAAATGTCATTAACTATTAATGTATTGTCCAGAGCAACATGTATTGTAATTGAACTCCATTCATCAAACACAACTAATTTTCTAAAAATTAAATTTTTGATAAAATATCAAATCTTATATATAAAAATATTAAAAATATGACAAATATGTACTTTAATACTTGTGCTATTGTGTTGGGCCCAAACCATTGTCCAACTTCTTTTCCTTCTGATGCTCCCATTAATGCAATTTGGTGAATAGAAAAAGCGGCAGTTCTTTTATCTTCAAAACGTTCTAAAATTTTCAGGTACGTACTATTTCTGGTTTCTGGTGTCCATTGCCAATCTCTACCTATTTTTCATTTTTTAATATTTGAAAATTAAATGTTTATAATTAATCTATATAAAATTTTGCTTATGTCATAAAATTGTTTAATCAGAAAACAAATTTGATTGATAAAAATTAAGTGTATAAAATAATTATGAAAGTATTAAGTGATAAAATTAATAAATTTAAATTAAAAGTTACCTAAATGTAATATAATTAAAGCTTGACCAAGAACCATTTGACCACATCTTAACATGCAACCCCAACCTTTGTCAGATGTAAATGTAGAATTGTAACCACCAATAGGCACAAAATTTTTTCGATAAGTAAACCATAATTTGGATTTTATATCCCTACGAATTGCGTCCAGTTCTGAAATTTAAGATCTTACATATCTAATTTATTACAGATCCCCATTATAATTAACTATTAGACCTCTTATAGCATTATATTTTTTTCCAAGAATCCAAACTGGTTCATCTGTTTGTGGTATATCCTCTAGTTCTTCTGAAATATTTTGTGTGAAAAGACTATCCATTTTCACAGTATTTGTAATATTATTTATGTAATTTAAAATTCTTCAATGTATCATGGATAAAATGTTTTGTTATTCTATAATTATACAAAAAAGGGAATACAGCTTTCTTCTAAAAAAAAAAAAGGAATAGTTAAAATGAGGTTAAGTATTTGTCAAAGAATGATATTCCATATATATATATATATATATATATATATAATACAACCACCTTCAGCTTAAAACAGTATTCGTCATTGTTCATTGAGCGAAAATTTCATTTTCGCAAGAAAAAAAGAATATTATAATAATGCTATTTGACTTTAAAAGAATGTCAATAACGTCATGACATCAGCAACACAGCTGATTAACAGATATCTCGAAGATAGCATTTTAAAATAACATGAATTGTATGATAATATATTATATATATTGTATAAACGATATACATAAAATGTATAATATTATTTAAATTCAAAAAATTTTGTTCTAAAATTAATAAATATGTTCTTTATATCTGAACACGTAGATAGTAATTTGACAGTTTTTCATTTCACTTTGAAAGCTAGAATGGGATATTCTATTACGAACTAATTCGCTCTAGAATTTTGCTCGTATTTGTTCGGTATAGGATATACGTATACATAGTATATGCGTACGTATATATTTAGGGATAATATATACATTTTTAATATATAAAGTATGTAAATATATAAAAATATATGTATTATAATTTTAATTTGTTACATTTAAATCTTTGCACGCATGTATAAGTTTATAAGAAACTATACAAATGAGACAATTTTTTTTATTTCTCGTATTCATTGTAACATATTTATTTGTTTTGATTTAATAAGGAAAACTGTTTCTTACATCATAGAATTCGTATATTATAAATGTGAAATACTGCATGTATGTTTATATTTCAAATACTCTTTCTTTACGCTAGATGGCATACATTCTCATACAAAGTAATTGAAAGTACTTGTGCTCAGTTATTTATTTATTTATTTTCTTACATGCGATATTTATGTTTACTATTATTCTTTATATATTACATATATACAGGTCAGGGATAAAGATTTTTTTACTGTTTTGAATCAAATAATTAAATAATTTAATTTGATAAAAATAAAAATATTCAACAAGAACAAAAAAAAAATAATAAAATTTTTATTTCCAAATTTATTTTCTTAAATTTTAGCAGTTCTTATGAATTTACAGGCAAAATTTTAGATAAAAAATTTTGTTGAATTACTTAAATTCATTATGTAGTATAATTCATCTTTTTCAATTACAATGTAGTTGAAAACTCTTATGATGTACTTGTATCTCTATCTTACGATAGCTAAAAGTTAAAATAAATTAGCATTTGTAACTATAATATATTCCGTATGGAATTTGCACGTGCTTCCTCATTTGAAAAATTGTTATTACAACTGCATAAATATATATATATATATATATATATATATATATATATATACATATATATTGAAATATTATGTAACGTTGTTTCATACTATCATTGAATAAATTTTTTTATACCAAAAAAAATATAAAATTATTTTTGGTAGTTTCTGTATTATTAAATATAGTTGAAATAATTATTATGAAACTAAATAAAATATTTCAGTCAGAAAATATATGAAATGTAAAATGTCAATGGTGATCTAACGGAAGTAAGGAAATATTTACGAATTGTTACATTGCATAATATTCGTACAATCACAAGTGTGATAGAATACTCTGATTGGCGCATGACAGAACAAATTTTCAGTTTCCTGTATGTTCAATTTCTATCTGCACTCAGTTGACTATTTATCCATTTGACGTGTATGTTTATTTATTTCGATCAGTTATCATCTTTTAACGTGCAACATTTTGCAGAATTTTCTATTGATTTTTAAGTAATGTGATAAACATATTTTGTAGATTTTTCGTAATAATATAATTAAACAAAAATCAAGTTTTTTCTTTCGTTGTAAACTTGTGAATATGTGATAATTTAAATTTTTGTGACATTTATGGATCTGTTTCCAAGAATTAAAAGTTGTAAGTAAATGATAAAAATAGAATATAAAATAGTGAATTTTTAATATCATTATTATAAAATAATTGTAATTCAGAAATAAATTTGTAACGAAGAAAATAATTTACACACTATAATTTATGTTAAAATAATTTATACATAATTTTTAAAATACATATTGAATACAACATTTTATAAATTAGAAATTAAAATTTATTAACATGTAACAATTATTATTCACAATTTTTCAATAGAAAAAAGTGAATCAAACTAATTTATTAGTAAAATGCAATGGATTGACATAAATTTATTTTTAAATACAGGATTAACATAAATATCAGTTACAGGATTAGCATAAATTTATATTTAAATAATAATTAATATACAATGAAAAAGTATTATACAAAATTATTTATTTATTATACTATTACTAGATTATAATTAATATATTACAAAATATGTAAATTAATCGATGACGGTAATACAATACAATTGTTTAATTTGATTAAATACAAATAAATGTTTTAATAAAACTGAATTATGTTTCATGAAAAATGTTTGCTTAACATTGACATATCCGATGTTAGATCGAATACTAGATTAAATACCTTTGATCAAATGCACACCTACTGCAACGATTGTTTTTATTAATAAAATCTCTTGTAATGTCGTTCCCTTTTATAAACTAGATTTCCTTGAGACTTTCTATGGACTTTCTATTATAATACCATATATAAATGCCTATGTCTAGAAATCTTTGAATGAACAATTATTTATTATTAAATGATTGTTATTTTTGCAAAATATAAATTAATCTATTTCTCTTATACAATAGAAAATAATTAAATTGTTAATAAATTCAATTAATAAATTGTTAATAAATTCAAACAATAAAAAACACTACTGTATTAAAATTATCAATTTAAAATTATTAATTTATTATTTATTTATTTATAAAATTATTATTAATTTAGTTCGATTAAATTTGATTATTATGCTACAATATGTTCCAAAAATTTCTATTACTTTATTTATCTTTATTTTATATTATATATATATTATTTTTCTTAAGCAGCTCTTTAGAAAGATTTTATTTTTTTGCATTTGTCATTGAATAATCTAACAGGAATTAATTATCAAATATATACCACAGCACATAATCATTTGTCAACTATGGTGTTTGAAAGCTTGAAAATATACGCGATATGACTCACTATTGTTCATAATTCATAAAGTTTGGCATTCTTCTATTTTTCGCAATGCTAAAAAGATTATGCGTTTATGTGATTTTGTGATTATGTGATTATTGCTCAGAAAACATATAATTATGTAATACGTAATTACAATAATTATCGTTTAATGAACTTTAATAAATAAAAGTCTCATGTAATACAATACAATTGATTTCTTTTTATCAAATGTACATTTACATACGTATACTTTTTGTTATATAACTTTTTACAAGATTAATATACTTTTAACTGTCCGTCTGTCTTTCGTAGTATAGTGAAATAATTTGAATTTAATGCAAAATCAAATTAATCAAATTAATGAAATAAATTGGCTATATGAAGATACCCATTGTCAAGTAACAAATTAAATTTTGCGCAATTTCAATTACGTTTCATTAAATTTATAAGTTGTATTATATATGTTTAATTTAAATAAAATACGTATCAAACAGAAATTTAATTTTTTATTCATAGTTAAACTTTATTACGTCTAATTTAACAATCAACCAAAGTAGAGCAATCAAATTTAATGTGTAGCGGAAAGTGTAGGGACATACACGAGATTAAACGGAATGTAAAAGTAGGTGTTCTCAATAGGTTTGTCTAGTTCCAATTGTGCGAGAACAATATCCTGCAAATCGAATCTCCGATCCGGTGTGATCTAATATACAATCTAATATAATCCATCTAAATTTACAGATGCTTCGCTAGTCCAGAAGTTAATAAACACGATTTTGTATCACTTTCATTTCAATAGAAATTATAATATTAGTAGAAAATGTAAATATTATATAAAATGACGTAAATAATGACAATATTTGAATTATAATTGCAAATACTTTATTCCAAAATTAATAAACGCAGACAAATTTATTCCAATAAATTCCTGTCTATCCCTATGTAATCAAAATTTATCTTGATAATACGTTTAATTAATTTTGTCTCGACACAATAAAGAGATTTATCTGTTTGTTCAATCAAGATACGGTCGAAGAGCTAATTATATTAATATTTATAATATAAATTAACGCTATATTATGGGATTTAGTAGAAAGATAATACAAGTACATTTTTTCTAACGCATTAAATGCAAAAAACACGTATGTATGTATTTATCTAGAAAATTTTAATAATAAGGTATAGTAATATGTTTAAAAACATACAGATTTCCCTACTAGAATAAAATTAAAAATTTTATCATTAATTCTACTTGTTCTCTAAATCTATTAATGAATAGAAAAAAATTCTTCTATTTATACAAATAGATAATATTCATTTATTTTTACTTTTCATTATATGTGTTAATATATTTTGTGTCAATCATTGTAAACGTAGATAATTTAAATTTTAAATGATATATAAGAATAGAATTATGTAATATGATTTAAATACTAAACATATATATGTCATTATAACAATTTCCACAAATAAATAACATAGCTAATAATAGTAGAACAAAATATTTGATTAAATTCGTTCCATTTATCGAAGATAGCATCATCCATTATACAAATAGTAAAAAGCAAAAAATAGATATAAAGATAAAAAGAAAAATAAAATAATAATAGAAAAAAGAATTACTAACAATAAGTGGCTATACTGCATGGCTTGATAAATATTTTAAGGATTTCAATCAGTGGATCTAGTATATTAATAAATTTGTGAACAGAATTGACATAGACTAAATATTTTAAAATATAAATTTTTAAATATTATTTTAAAATGAGAAAAGTATTTCAAAACTAATATAAGTATGTATTTATGTTCATAGAAAATAAAATTTAAAGAAATCATTGCAGAAAAAGAAAATTTTCCGAACAATCACAAAATTGTAATATATCCTTTCAAAAAAAAAGAGATAAATGTTATTTAATAAATAATTTTGATTTTGCAAACATATATCGTTAAATTTTTTTAAAAATTTGTTACGTTCTTTTTAAGCATATATGATAAATACACTTACGAATAAAGTGGGAATTGTATTTATAGACAATGAAATTTTTGAATAGTAAATTAATTTTTTATGTACACATTTAATAGTTCCTTCTTTATCCATAAGATTCTGAACTAGAAGGTACAAAATGAAAGTGATATAGTGTGCGATCAATAATCTCCAAACGCTTAGTTGGAAGCGTAGGCTTACCGTTCACGTTCACATCATAATAATCATATTTCAGACACGATTGCGAGCACACCTCAGTGACACCGCTAAGTTTAAAACCCTTTATATAACTTGTACACGCTAAAATATCTCTTGTTCGTGAAGTATATTTGAATATAGTTGAAAGTTAATAAACTAAAGTAACAAATTTTAATCAAAATATTAAAATCATAGTGATATTAAAGTATATTATAGTTAATTCAAGATAATAAAAAAAAAAATGAATTCTATTAATTATCTCTAAATTAAATTTAAAAAATCGTGAAATGTTGTGAATATAGTTATTATAATTCTCATCTGTGACAAGTCGTAAATTCTGTTTTGGTATAAACGGATTACGATGAATATTTTTTTATTGGATAGTAAAATAAAATATGTTTCAATTAAATTGTGAATTGATCAAGATTGATTCTCATCTGATGAAGTTTCAAACCAGGAAAAAAAATCAAAAATATTTCTTTTTTAAGTGCTTCAGTTGTACAATTTATGAACAGGTTTGTAATAAAAAAAAAAAAAACACATATTTCTGAACGTAGTTTTATCGTCAATATGATTAAAAGCCTTAAACATCGTACTAGAACCATTAAACATGCGCGAAATACTTACACGTGTGTCACAACTGTTGCTCTGTGTAACAGGTTGTCACGTTATTTACGGTAAAAATGCCTTGGTAAAAATGTGTCAAGAAAACATGTACGGATTCTAGTGTACTTGAAAAATTAATTTCATATTCAGACGAGGTATCGAAAACATAATTCGTTGAATTGTTTGAGACAATGGGAAAATGTTTTTAATCACGACATGTTAAAGTGCACAACACTGGAACTCGGCAAAGTAGTCTGTGTTGCCCTCTGTCTAATGAAAAGAAAAAGTAACTTTAAATTTATTGATTAATTTTATAGTAATAATTTCTATTAATTTGTAAATGAAATAGTTATAATACTTATTTTACAGTATAAGACAGTATAAGATGATCGTAACAACATGTATATGTATAGTATATATATACATATTGCATATGTGTACATTGTCTGCTAAAGTACGGAACTTTCTACTTTCGAAATATTATTGGGTCACTGCTATTAGTTATGTGTAAAATCGTTCTTTGATATTGATATTTGGTTATTATGTATATTGTTTAGTAATCAGGTAGCACATAGAAGTCACTTTTTTTATAAATCGTAATATTAGCTATTAACATGCTAAAAATTAATTAAATTCCGTACGAATATTAATAATTTGTTGAAAAATTTACGTCTTATTAAATAAAAGATAATATTAACTGCTTACCTTGTAAAACTGATTCGTGATTAAAATTTTTTAATCTTTAATCTAATATTTAGTGTGTGATTCTATACGGTTTTATTTTATGTATTTTAGTATTTTGATGAATTAATTTAAATTTTTAATGATATCTATACATTTTGAAAGGAGTAATAGCAAAAAGCAATAAATAAACAATTAAAAATTTTTTAATAAACGATTTAAAACATTTATTAAAGTGTTGATTTATTTAATTAAAAAATATATAATAAATTTCGGATAAGATTATAATTAACCATCTTGTTGTAAACATTGTAAACGAAGATACGTTTCAGAAGTGTTTTATAACTTCGTGAACTTTCGTTTAAAATCTTAAAAAACGATGGAGAGAGAGAAATCCTCGGTCGATTTTGCCAAGGATACTGAATACGGAACGTGAGTATTGTTCTTTTGCAACTGCTTCATTGCATCGTAATATTATGGTTGAACATTATTCATTTCTGGTGAGATTATTAACAATTTTATAAAATTATTTTCTTTTACTACAGATGTAATACAGGATTTGAACACGTTGACATATAATTCCATTACTTTTCTGAATAATACAATCAGCTTGAAGTATATTATTGTTTAAAAATTCTTAATTACTTAAGAAATCATAGAAATTGTATTTTCGAAATGTGAAATGCTAGAATTTATAATATTGGTGATTTTTTTTAGTGTCAAATTTAAAGATGAACACATATCATCTTGGAAATTTTGGAAAAAAAGAAGATACGTGGTCGGAGTATTGGCGTTTTTCGGATTTTTTACATCATATATTCTTCGTGTAAATTTAAGCGTAGCCATTGTTGCAATGACCGCAAAGGTTCGCAAAATCGATGAAAATGGAAAGGAATATTTTGTAAGTAAAGTGGATTACAAATTTAAATATTTATAAGTTAAATGATGATCTATAAGTTATTTATAAGTTAAATAATTTAAATATTTATAATAAACTTTTTAAATTTCACTCATTCAAAAGTTTTTAGCATATATCTGCATTATATTGCAAAAATAAAGATAAATGGCGCTAAAATTTTATCACAATTCAAACGAGATAATTGATATAACGTGTAATTACTAGATCAACGAGATAAGTAATAATTACTAGATCAACGATATGACAATAATGTATTAATGCGTAAGATTAAATTGAAAAGTAGTTCTTATCAAATGTAATATAATTATACAGAAACATACGTATTCTTATCATAATATATGATATTTTATCAGTTATATCATTTAGATTATCATTTACATTACTTTGTAAACATGTAATTGATTGCTGTTTCATTGCTTTTTTACATAATAACAAAAAAATTGTTTATTTAGGATTTTCATTTAAAGTTACATCAATATATTTATTTATTTTGATCTGTTATTAAATTTCTATTTATTTTTTCTTAGTTAAAAATAAATTAAAAATGACTACATCTGATAATAAATATTTAGAAGTTTATGAAGATATAATACTACATAAGATAAATGAATCTTGTTAACTTTGATCATTTTTAAATGTATTCAGGGTGCTTTTTACAGGAACAAGAATTCGATTGGGATTCGAAAACACAAGGATTGGTGTTAAGTTCTTTTTTCTATGGATACATAAGTACCCAATTATTAGGAGGATGGCTTGGTGCGCGTATTGGTGGAAAAAGAGTTATTGGTCTTGGAATAGCAGTTACAGCTTTTCTTACGATTATCACACCACCCCTGGTCAGAATAAACGTTTACATTCTACTTGTTCTACGAATAGTAGAAGGAATTTGTGAGGTGAGGTAAAAATTACAATATTAAAATTATTATGATATTAATTATACATTCATTTTTTAAATTATTATTTAAATCTCGACTTAGTAGGTATTAATTCTGAAAAATAATGATCAAAAGAATTGGTTCTTAAAAATAATTTCATCTTAAGTCCTATTATTAAAATAATGTTTTCTTCTTGATTCTGTATCAGATGTCCTCCTCATTTCATTTATTTTAAATAAGTAAGTAACACTGGAATGTTGGAAATATATATGAGCTTATAAAAATGTCACATAATCTGTTTGACATCTTTTATAGTATATTTTCTATTCTTCTTTATGCCCCTAATAATCTTTTGCCGAAGATAAAAAGTGAGAAAATGTGCATATAAAATAGCAAATAAAACGCACTCAATATACAGAATGAGTCACAAAAAATAATATTCTTATATGTATATACACCGTTATTTGTTTTTGTATTGAAAAATTTTAACAATTAACATTCTCAAATATTTCAACATCTTAACAAATTTAACTTTTTATATTTCTTGGAAAATTATAATAGTATTATAATAGTAGGAATAGATTTTTCCCAAAGTTATTTTTTACGAGGTTTAAATCATTGATGTTTTTGAAATAGTACGATGTAGGTATTTTCAATCCCACTGCATCGTGATTGATATAAGGACGAATTTATCAACTTTTAAACTTGGTTATTCGTTCAATTAATGAAAACATTAAACTGTTCAAATCGTTCTGTCAATTATTTTTGACAAAAACTTATTTAAAAAAATTATTTTTGATAAAAACTTAATTATTTTTTCTATTTTATGTATCCTACATATTTTCTATTTTATGTATCCTACATATCTTGAGAAATATTTTTATATCTGTATCTAACTTTGCCCCAGAAGATTTTTTAATACAATCAACCAGTATAAGAGTCCGGTTTCTCGTGACTCACCTTGTATGTAAAATAATTGCTTTTACACATAATATTATGCATTCGCTATCAGAGATATACATATATAAAATACATTAACGTATCGTTCATTTTATGTATTATATATTATGTTTTCTTTTTCCATTTTAATAAAAAAGAATAATATAATAAAATAACAATATAATTTTATAGTTTTTTATTGCTAAAATAATTTCTATTCATTTGAATTTAGGGTGTAACGTATCCTTGTATACATGCAATATGGGCACAATGGGCACCTCCATTGGAAAGATCGAAATTAGCAACACTTGCATTTTCCGGAAGTTTTTTTGGAACTGTATTTGCGATGCCAGTTGCCGGTTTGATGGCTGAATATCTTGGTTGGTCTTCCGTCTTTTATGTTTTTGGAGCAGCTGGTGTTATTTGGTTTTTTTACTGGTGGATAGTTGTGAAGGATAAACCAGAGGACGATAAATCTATTTCCAAAGCCGAACTCGAATATATTAAAAGTAGCCTTGGAAATTCAAGCAAAGAAAAAGTAAGTTTGTTCTAAACAATAATATAGTAATTATTTATTTTAGGGTACTTTTTACTGGCAAGAACATCATTTTGAACTTTTGCCTGTACATGTTACGATAGATAAATGTATATAAAGAAAAGTTGCCTAGAATAATGACCTTGATAATATATTTCAAGGTCATTGAAATCAGTGAAGAATAACTAAATCTAAAGTAAATAATTGTTAATAATATAACAATTCAAAAAAATTTTTTTATTAATTTATTCTTAGAAATATATATATATATATATATAATTTTCATCCGATTTTTAAATATTATTATCAATAATTTTCTTTATTTAAAAACTTTTTTTTAAGTAATTAATTTTACTATTCAACTTTTATGTCTTTTTATAATTAATATATGTATAATGTATAATTATAATTAATATATGTATAATTATAATTATATATGTATAATATAATGTTACATTTACAGAATTTTTTTGATTATTTTGTTTTATATAGAAAATTACACATCCATGGAAAGCTATGCTTACGTCTCCACCAGTGTGGGCAATTGTTGCAGCTCATTTTAGCGAAAATTGGGGGTTTTATACGATGCTTACTCAGTTACCAACATTTATGAGTGGTGCGTTCAATTAAACATTTATTTGATAAACATATAATATTAAATAAATTATATAAATTATACTTAAGTAATCTATTTTTAGATGTACTCGATTTCAAATTGGATAAGACTGGATATTTATCTGCATTACCGTATCTAGTTATGACTCTCGTTGTTCAATTTTCTGGACATTTAGCAGATTATTTAAGAAGAAAGAAAATTTTAACGACTACGCAGGTATGTCATTAAATATTTATTATCTTGTCATTAAATTGTCTTTACTCTAAAAACACTTTTCTTTTTACAAATTTTTTTTATAGATCCCCATTAAAAGCATTTGAAAATAAAATATTTTCAAAATAAAATATAATAAATAAAATAACATTCTATTTATATTTTAGTAATTTTAGTACATTGTTTTCAAGTGCTATTTAAAATTACATATAATATATAATACAAGTATAAGATGCAAAAATTTTGCAACTATAATACTTATTTTGTTGCAGGTGCGTAAATTATTTAATTGCGGAGCTTTTATATGTCAAGCGATATTCATGACGTGTACAGGTTTCATCTTAACACCGGCAGGAGTAGTTATTTGTATAACTTTAGCAGTTGGCCTTGGTGGCTTTGCTTGGTCTGGATTTGGGTAATTTTTTTCGAATTTTAAATGTAAAAATACAAAAAATGGAAGGGAAATAAAATATTATAATTTAATTATTTAAAAAGTTAAATAATTTTTTATATTAACATTAAATGTGCATATGTATATATATATATATATATATATATATATATATATATATATATATATACATAAAGTCAAAATATAAAATTTTTAAATTTTTAATTAATTTTCATTAACAAATTAGTGAACGACGTTAGATATGTATATTGTGTCTTTAACTAATTTGCCAAGAAAATTGCACATTTATTTATTTATAATATAAATTATTTTTAATATAATAATATAAATTATTATTAATATAATATAATAATAATATAAATTATTTTCTTTAAAAATTTATTAATATTAAATATATTTTTTTTTAAATTTATTAATTATATACACGGTGTTGCACGTAATTGTCGCCACGATTTTTCAGACACTTCTGATTGTGTGACAAAAAATGTTTTGAACAAAAATTAATCAGTTTCTAGTTGGCTA